TCATTATTCATACTTGTCAGTATGAATTACTTGACTTATACCTCTGTATCCACAGTTTACTTTATAAGTGACATTGGAACACTTTATAATAATTTCTAATGGTCCTTGCCAATATGATGTTAATATGGGAGATGTACAAGTCTTACGTTTTGGGAAGTAAATGTAAACTCTATCACCTGGCTTAAATGACTGCCTATTTAATTTTCTATCATGGTACCACTTTTGTCGTTCTATACTCTCTTTTGTCATTTCCCTGACAACTGCGTGTGCTTCTTCTAATTTTTCTTGTAACTCCCAAACCCATTTATTCTGTGGAATTCTCTTAATATCAGAATGGACCTCGTATACGATATCCAAAGGTGTAGCGACATCTCTACCTAACATCATTTTGTTTGGAGTTGCACCCTTTGATTCGTGGACTGCTGCTCTGTATGCCGTCATTACGTATGGGAGATGTTCGTCCTAATCCGTATGATGCTCATTGACATAGGCTGATAACATGGTAGCCAGCGTTTTGTTGAATCTTTCAACCGTCCCGTCCAATTGGGGGTGGTGCGGGGTGGTGTGTGTTTTCTTTATATTCAAAAGCCGGCACATTTCTATAAAAAAATTGCTTTCAAACTGGACTCCTTGATCGGAGTGAATAGTTCCAGGCACTCCAAAACGGGCTATGACTTTTTCCACTATCACCTTAGCTACAGTTGCGGCTTTCATATAAGCCATAGGAAAATTTTCTGTCTATGTAGTAAAGTAATTCGATACAACTAGTATATATCGGTTACCATTATTGGACATGGGAAGTGTGCCAAATATATCTGTAGCAATAAGTTCCATCGGTGCGCCGCAAGTGACAACTTGCATCGGGGCACATTTAGTAGTATTTGGAGATTTTCGCCTTTGGTAATTTTTACAACCAGCAATGTACAATTTAACATCTTTCTGCAATCCTGGCCAATAGTATTTGCATTTTATCTTCGCCAATGTTTTCTTTATCCCATGATTACAGATGTCCTTTCATCATGGAACTGTCATAATATTGTACGTCTTTCACAATATGGCACAACAGCTTGCAGAGAAACTTTTTCGTGCTTTTTCTTTCGGAAGAGCATTTCATCCTCTAATACCAGAGCATCCCACTGAGAACATAGAGACTTAATGAAGTTGCTATGACCAGAAATCTCTGATGACTCTGTCTTCACAGCTTTTCCAATCCATTTGATTAGCTGATTTATGTCTCTGTCATCGTTTTGTTTGGCTTTCAAAACAATCTCTCGGTCATCGCTTTCAAAGACAACCTATCCTTAGGTGTTACACTATTTATAGTATTTACTGTACATTCAGAAGATGTACAACATGCTTTTCTACAAGGTAAACAGCTGAGGGCATCAGCATTTGCATGCTTATTCCCTGGTCTGTGTTCAATGGTCATTTGAAAATTGCTCAGCGTTTCAAACCATCAAGCAACCTGGCCTTCTGGATTCTTGCTGTTCATTAGCCATTTAAAAGAACTGTGATCTGTTCTGACTAAAAACTGTTTGCCATACAATTAGTGTTTGTTATACTGTGTAAAGTAGACAACGGCCAACAGCTCCTTTCTTGTAACGCAATATTTCCGTTCGGTTTTTGACTAGGTTCTGCTTCCAAAAGCAATTACTCTTTCTACTCCATTTTGTTTCTGTGAAAGAACTGTTCCTATTGCAACGTCACTAGCATCTGTATCCAAAAAAATGAATGAAAAGTCAGGATGGGCAAAAATTGGTACAGGGATAAGTGCATGTGAGTAAAAGGATGCTTGATAATCATCTGTTTATTTGAAATTTGATCCCTTCTCAGTCAATTGGTTCAGTGGCTTTGCCTTTGCTGCAAAGTTGTGTATAGTCTGTAGTAGCTGCAAAGACCTAAAAAACTTTTTACCTCTGTTAGATTAGTAGGCACAGACAAATTTTGTACTTCAGATATTTTGAAGTATCTGTGCTTATTCCTTCCTCTGATATTACATGTCCGAGAAATTCAACAGTTTTATAAAACAAGTGACACTTTCTTGCTTTCAGTTTTAGGTTAGCAGATGACAGCCTATTAAATACATGTGTGGGGTTTTCTTACATGTTGGTAAACGATGTTCCGATAACAATGATATCACCTAGGTATACCAAACATATTTGCCATTATAAGCCACTCAGAACAGTTTCCATTAGCCTTTTGAAGGTTGCCGAGGCATTGCAAAGGCTAAACGGCATTACATTAAAATGGTATAAACCACATTTAGTTGCAAATGCCATTTTTAGTTTATCTGAGTCATCCATGCTAACTTGCCAATACCCGGAGCACAAGTCGAGGGTTGAGAACCACTTTGCTCCGGCAAGACTGTATAACGAGTCGTCCATGCGTGGAATATTGTAGGCGTCTTTGACTTTAGCTGCATTTAAACCTCTGTAATCCACACAAAATTGCAAAGAACCATCTTTTTTTGGCTAAAACGACTCCTGATGCCCATGGACTATATATTCGATTTATCTATGATTTCCCTGTCAAGCATGTCATTTAATTCATTTAATTGCTTCTCAGATAGGTTAAGACCGCCCATAGGAAATATGCGTTAAAATATTCCGATAAAATCAATATAATGTTGATATATTTTTTGTCCTATACAAGTCATTTTGATTCGAATTTGCAAATCTCTCCTCTAATGCATTCACAAGTAAGACACAGTCATGCTTATGTGTGTTAGACAAATTCCCCAGTACCCCTTGAGCCTGTCCTCTAAAGGAAACTGCTTTCTCCTTTCTCTTTTTCCGTCCATTTGTTCAACATGTTGCATGCATCAAAATGGGAACGATAATCAAACCAGGATCCCGTACCATCAAATGTTGCAGGTTTTATATGGGTCTGTGGTTTCTTTTCTGTTGCCGTTATGATATTGGTCTCTGTATCCTGTCTACTAAATGACGATCCTTTCAGCGATTAGTAATGTTTGACTCTGTTGCACCTCCAGAGACTGGTGTTGACATAAATAACCAGGTCTTTTGTCCTCATCAGAAGGAACACTACTTGTACCAAACAACATTTCATCTTCCCAAGAAACTTTTCCTACGAGATGCTTTTTCGGTTTAACATCACCGTGAACGTCTATATCGGAAAATCTGCCTGATGCAAAACTTGAATCTTTTGATTTCGTATCTGATCGAACATCTGGGATACTTGTTTTATAAGCACTTGCATCCTTGGCTAAACTAGCATTGTGAATGCTAAAACTGCCATTTTTTAACTCTTGTAACTTCTGCTCTATGAATGTTATTTAATTGTTAATGTCGGTTATGTCCTTGTAAGCCATGTTTTACAATATGCCCGCAAAATGAAAACAAATAATCGATAAACAAATGATATAAAATATATAAACCTAATATTCTTAAAACTGCTGCCACGAAATTTGTAACGTTTTTACAAAGTACAAATAATTATTTATTGGGTCCGCTTAGGATTCTTTCCTAAGAATCACGTTTATATCGAATTAAAACAAACTTCAATAACAATGGCAAACAACTGACTGAAATTCACTATATATGTATATACTTTTTCCTCCGTCCTATTTGGGTATTGATTTATTATTAAATCAAAAAACTTGATAAAAACGAACTATAACGACAGAATCACTGACAATCACTAACAATCAACCAAATAATCAAATATAATGTTCACGTATCTCTGTAGTTGCAGACTGAGTTGTATAACCAACAATTCTGTTGTTTCCCGACACAGTCTGCAACTATACCTAAAGAACACACCCTAAAAGTCACTGAGACACCTTTATGAAAAGTCACCGAGACAAAAATATAAATGAATTCACCAAAACACTACATAAATAAGTCACCAAGACACTAATAAAGAACTAGATTCCAGAGCTGAGTGGTCTAGCGAACAATTCTGCTGTTTCCCGACACAGCCCAAGAACCTGGCCCTAGAGGTGTTATTCAAGCGATGAGTAACCACTAAGTAACCGATTGCTTCGTGGGTGTCTGTAATTATACTGTTTCTAATAACTAATGATTGGTTGATAATTCGGGAACTCTGATTGGCTTTAATGCAAATGTTGATTGGTTAATTATCAAATGATTCAAATGGTCGAATTCAAAGGCATTTAAATCCACTTTGATTTTCTGTTTCATTGCACAAAGTTTATCACAAGTTTGAGCGTGTAATGTTTTTTTTTTTATTTTTGCATCATATAAGGGGCCAGGTTCGGTATTTTATATACCTTGTCTTTGAATCGAAAAAGTATAAAATTGATCAAGTGAGGAATTTATCAGAATGTATATGAATTGAAAATAATGATTGGAAAGCTTTACTAATTATTGTCACAAATTATTTAACTCTTACATTATGTCTATGCGGACCTCCAATTTCACTCTTTGGTCTGTCACTAATTTCTAATTTCGAGCGAGTCTCCCAGAGCAGAACATGGTCTTTTCTATTTTAAGCGAGGAATTATTTAGTGAGAACAGTTCTCACAGTACCTATAGATTTTATAAACTTTAAACCTAGATGCATTCCTTAAACACACTCTCTCTCTCTCTCTATCTCTGTCTCATTTACAATTTTTACATACTTAAATCTAATATTGTTCTAGTGAATCACTTATGATGTCATTTTTATTCAAACTTGCAATTTAATTTCATAGTTTTACCGTAAATCTGAAAATTTTTACGTCGATTTTATTTTGCAAATTCAGGACAAAATGGTGTTGATTTATTTGTACGTTTCAAATTTTTGCAAATTACCACTGCTTCGTTTATATTTTCTTATTGGTATTTTACTTTTAAGAAAAATATTTTTGCGAAACAAAGAACTCGCAAAATTGCTAAAAATTTATCTACAGCAAAAATTTCCAGATTTACGGTATTATTTTCGTTTATTTACTGATAAAACAATTGTTAATCTCTTTCAATTTCATATTTTAATGCAATCTAAGTTATATAACTCATTTAATATTTTAAAAGGGAGAAATGGCTGTGATTCCACATGCTCAAACACGCTATTTACGTGCAGTAAATGCTACCGTGGTTGTCATTCCAAAGGCAATCAGGAAGTTTTTTCTTACTAAACACCAAATAACAACTTTGACGAAAGATTTGTCGGATAAAGAAGAAGAAATCAAGAAATATCCTGGAGTGACAAAAGGAAATTTACATTTACTCCTTCCAGGAAAGGGTAAATATATTTGATATCTATTATGGAAAGTCTAGTGATAACATTTTTATACAGCGAAATAATGAGTACTTTGAATTCATTGATTTTTATAAAAATATTTCAATATTTTGTTTTATTTTTAAAGTAGAAGCAATATTCAAAGTTGATTAATGAAACTATTAATATCTTAAACATATAAAACGGTATACAAATAATTTCTTTATTAATTTTTATTACTACAAGTGTAACTATTTCTTACATTTATTCGATTCAACAAATAAAAGAGTTTCTTACCTAACTAGTGCATTAAGTGATAAGAATTGATTCCTTTTCGAATGGTTATTAGAGATATTATTGCAAACAGTTTATTTTTTATGCCCCGTAATGGAAGATAAAAGGGTATTTTGTTTTTCTCTTGTCTGTCCGTCTGTCAGTCTGTCCACAAAGTATTTCATAAGCATTTTAAAACGCCTTTCAATAATTTACATCCATGATGAATATAAAAATAGTTGTCTCATTATGCACAATTTTAATTCCTTTTGTGCGTATTTGACATTATTAATTGTTTTTAATTGAAAAAAATCGGTTTTCAAAACCCGAACACCGTTCTGAAAAAAAAACTTCAAAGCCACTGATCGTGTACCAGCGATTCAGGGTACACAATCATACACCTTTTGTCTTTTTTACTAGCCATAAGGTAATTAAAAGAATTGATAATTTCCTAAAGTTCATTATTCTACGTTAATGAAAATTAACGCATCACCTATTCCTGAATATTAAAATTTTGGTTTTTGCGGTGTTAACGGTTAGATTCAATGAGGATATATATACCTGTAAAGCATAAGGCAAGTTGTGTAATTCTTCTGGTGAGTTAGCGAATATTACTGTGTCATATGCAAACATCAAAACAAAAAAGATTTAATTCCCTTATTTCTACGGACTTTGCATTCTACGGAAGATTGTGCACAATGAGACGCTTATTCTGATATCCATCATGGAACTAGTATGATAAAAATTGGTCTGATATGCTTCAAATATACTTTGACACATATTTTATCGTAAAACACCTTGCCTAGAATAAAACAAATAAATCCAGTTTTCGAGTATATTATTATTTTGTTTTTTTTAATTTGTATCGACATTTTTTAAAATATAACAAAAAATAGATCTAATTTTTATAGTAAATTATTACATGCAGTTAGATAGTTATATTTATTTATAATACATTAAAAATTAATTAGTGTGATTTCACTAATTTTCGTGGGGGGGGGGGGGGGTTATTATTATGAATTTCTGGGTATGAAAAAACCCAACAAATTTATGTCCACAACGAAATTCAATTTTTCACATATATTACTACTGAACGATTCTTAAACTACGAAATCAAATCCCCATGAACCAAAATATTTTTTCTCAAACCACAAACATCGACCCCTAAAAAATAAATGATTTTTTGAATTGAATTAGTTTTCAAAACTAGAATTTTTCAATTACTATCTATATAGTATTGTACCATACCCCTGCTGTGTTTTTTATTTTCAAAAGATGCAAATTTGCGCCAAATATTCTATGGATTAAACAGGTGTAAGAAAAAATAAAAATAAACAAATAAAGCAATTTATCTATTAATAATATATAAAAAATTAGTGTACTTATCTATTTTGAAAAATAACTTTGCCAACAAAATAAAAAGAATCATAAACAAATAAGAATTAGAATACACCTGTTGATATAAATAGATACATAAAAATATTATATAAATAATTAAGTAGCCCCCCAAAATAATCAATTATTCATTATTAAATATCAATCTATTTATTAAATTATTTCACTAACTTTACGATACAAATAAAATAATTTGTTATTTATTCAAAAATGAAAAAAAATTGGCCTTTTCTATATTAATCATTTTACGATAATATATGTGTCAAAATATTTTTAAAACATATTAAAATCAATTTTAATAACAGTACTTCAATTATGGATATCAAATTAATCGTCTCATTATGCACAATTTCAATTCATCAATAGCTTTTTGGATGCTATTATTTTGTTTTGATTGAAAAATCTAATACAGAGAGAAAATGCTATTTTAAACCGCTCCATAGTGGACACGGTCGCTTTGCCACAAATTAAAGAAGGGATAGCGGTCAGTGAAAGAGACAATAGTTATCATGACTGTGTACATTGAGTCACTAAACTATCAATGGCTTTGAAGTTCATCCAGAACGGTGTTACGGTTTTGAAATCCGATTTTTTTCAATGAAAATAATACAAAGCAAAAGTATCAAAACGCAATTAACAAATAAAGATTGTTCATAATGAGATGATTATTTTGATATCTATCATGGACATCAAATAAATAAAATTTGTTTTTAAAATATGCTCATAAAATATATTGTAACATATTTTAAAATCAAACTCATCATATAAAATGAACCTATCAAGTCAAATTTGAGGTATGTTTAAATTATGAATAAATTTGTTCAATTTTTAATTTCAAAAGTAAATAAATTGATATTTTCAATATCTATTCCTTCCTGTCCGTTTGTAATTCAAGTGAAAATATTCTTCACTGGATACCAAAGACTTTGACCCTTCGACTTTGACCCTGGATTTTAGCTTCTTTTAAAACGCAAACCATGGCCATAACTTTGGAAAAGTTAGAGCTAGTAAAATCATACTTTAAATATTTGGATTTTAAATTCTTGGGACAAGATCTTTTATTTGATTGAAAGAAACTTTGACTCTTGGCCTTGGACTTGACCTACTTTCGGAAATTCTTAGCCTTGGTCATAACCTTTAAGGGGATAAGGCTAGGGTTTCCATTATTCACATATGTATTCATTTGGCAATACCTTTCGGTGAATACCAATTACTTTGATCTTTTGACCTTGACTTTGGATAATTCTGTACTTATGAAAAAACTTTAACCTTGGCCAAAGATGTTGAACGGCAAGGGCTAGTGCAGCCATACTTCACATATGTAATTTTTGTGAAAAGACCCTTCAATGCATAGCAAGAACTTGACCCTTTGAGGTTGACCTTGGAGTTTGACCTACTTTTAAAAACAAACTTTTACCATATGTTAAAAATGTTTGGGCTAATGCTTTCATACTTCTCATTTTTAATCCCTTTGACAAGACCTTTAATTTGATATCAAGAAATTTTACCCTCTAACCTTGACCTTAGACCTTTGCCTAAACTTTTGAAGAGTTTAGGCTAGGACTTTCATTTTTCAAATATCTATTTTTTATGGCAAAACCTTTCTTTCGATACCAATTACCTTAATCTTTCGACCTTGGCCTTGGAGATTTCCGTACTTATGAAAAAAAATCCTTTATCATTGGCCTACCTTTATATTTCACAATTGTTTTTCCTGTGAGAATATCCTATTTTTGGTACGAATACATTAAAAATGCATTTATGAAAAAGTTAATCTTGTTTTTATACGTGGGCATCAGTTTTTCACAAACAAATTTTGTTTTCATCCAAAGACCTTTAATCAATTAAAAATCAATCTTTTAAAAGTTAACATAGTTCTAGTTTGTTGTAAAAATTATATTTATTTGATATATTAGGAAATTTTTTATTCAACTTACATTTGAAAAGTTATTTATGTCTTTGATTGTGTAAAATTATAAAAAAAAAATATATAGATAATTATAAATTCATTGTTGTATAATAATTTTGATATGCAGGAAAGAAGTTTTTTTCAGACGATACCATTCCGCCAAAAAGAAATAGTCCTTGCTAGTTTTCAATCGCGCTTTACAAATTCTATTCAAAGTTGTAGAGTTGTGATGAGGAAAGAAAATACGGTCTTTTAAATACCTTACACATAAATCTATAAGACACATAAGCAAATGTACGTTGAATACTTAATTTAGTCAGAAACCAGCGAAGAATCCTACCTTAAGAAAGATCTGGTCACAAGAATTACTTAGGTTAAGTATGAAATTAAGCCCTAGTCCTAAGTGTTCGAAAGTTATGGACAAGGTTTAACATTTTAAAAAGGAAGGTCAAACCCCAAAGTGAAGTCAAAGTTCATGATATCCACTGAAAGGACTTGTCACTAGCAATAAATATGTGAAGTATGAATCCCTAGCCCTTTGAAAGTTTTAGTCATACTTTGTTTTTTAAGTAAAAAAACTCAAAGGTCAAAGGGTCAAAGTTATTGGTTAGCAATAAAGGGGCTCTTAACAAGAATTACATATGTGAAGTATGAAAGCCCTAGCCTTCACCCTTCGAAAGTTATGACAATTATAATTTTTTTTAATAAGTACGGACATCTCTGAGGCCAAGGTCTGAAGTTCAAATTTGTTGGTATCAAATGAAGATCTTGCCATAAAAAATACGTATATGAAGTACAAAAGTTCTGTTATATACTGTTCTAAAGACATGGCCAAAGTAAACGCATGGAATTTTGTGTAAATGAAGGTTAAATTCCAAGTTCAAAAGTTCAAATGTGGTGGTACCCAAAGAAAAGTTATCACAAGGAATACACATGTGAATATGAAAGTCAGAGCTCTAGTGCATCAAAAAATTATAGGCAAAGTTTTTTCTCTCGGACAAACAGATAGATAAATGGAGCACAACAAAAATTATGTACCCCAGAAACTTCATTTACGAGGGGCATAAAAATATGCATGTTACAATGAACTTAAGGTAGAATTTTTTTTTATGCTTCAAAAATGATCATCATACACAACATACATCCTATCATTTATTTTCAAATATTGCTATGACTTCATGCCTTTGGTTTTTTTTTTTTTCACTCTAAAAATGTACCTGTAGCCGTCCGAAAATAATAATTACCAGTCTTATACTGTATTAACGGACGATAATGATCGGACGGGAAAAACAAAGAGAAGAGTGAAATTAATGTTAAATATGTCAACCCCCCCCCCCCCCCTCAGCTAATGATAGGTAAAAATTTAGGTAAAGCATACACAAGGAAAAATTAAGTTGCTACAAAATAGTAATTCCATGAAAAAAATCGAGTTTTAACCTTCCTAAAA